TTTTGGCACTCGTTCATCAATCTCCCAGCTACAAGGATAGCCTAGCCGTAGCCGGTGGATGATAACAGCATCCTTCCTAGACATGGAACGGGGGATGGTGATGGTTTCGTATTCAGTGACAGTTTTGTACCAGGTCGCCGAAGGTGAACCTGCTTGAACCCAGACTTGGTGTTGGATGAGTGTAATTTGCTTTGCAGTAATCTTGGCTCTGTTTTTGATTTGGCTGATGCTTGGTTTAATCGGCTGTATGTGAGTTTGGTGGAGGCTGGATTTGGCTGCTGAGTCTACACGATCATTGCCTTCTAATCCGACATGACTGGGAATCCACATTATTCGGACCTTCTTGCCTTGTTGAGTCAGCTGTTGTAGCTTGAACAGAGTTGATGTTGCTAAGTAAACATTGTCCAAGTGAGCACGGTTCTGTAAGGTGTGAATGGCAGAGAGGGAGTCCGTGAAAATACATACTGTAGATTTTGTACAGAAGAGTGCATATGTCAATGCTGATCGAATGGCGAACAGTTCTGCCTGGAGGATGGAGGAATCATTGCTGAGTCTCGATGCCTGTACATAGTCATTGCAAAGAAATGCACCAAGAAATAATGGTAGTTGATGTAATTAATGTTGACGTCTAAATAATTTGTGATTGTGATTATTGCGAAATGATAATACTAATCATTTTTCCATCTGACTCAAAATATCATTAAATACTGAATATCAGAGTCCAAGCCTACTTCGACTTTGCAGGGAAGCACATTTCAACGCAAAGGCCCTATCACTGTTTCTTCAGACTTTCGCTTTTCCGAATGAACCTTCCGTGTGCAAATGACCCTTTATCACGGCAGAGTACCGTTGCTCCCTTCTAATTCGCACGAGCATCTTACACGTCACTTAAGAGTCTGTTCTAAAATTGGTCTTTGTCTCCGAGACTGTCGCAGAAATTGGCTCCGTCATTTTAGTGTGACTCGCACTGGGAAACATTTCAAAGTGGACACCTGACTAGAAGCAATATTTACATGTTAAAGGATAATCTAACACAATAAAACTGCAGTGAATCTCAACTACACCATTACATAATATTGCACATTTAGTTTCTATTTTATTTAAACGTACAAACTCCTATATTTGTTGCAAATGCGCCAAAAAATGAAGGCGCTTTTACCGAAGAGGAAGCTGTAATAAAATGTAGAAACGACCCAACCAATTTATGACACTGAGTAAAAAAAAAAAAAAAATGACACGCAAGTCTTAAAAACACATGCTACAGCCTTATTCGCTAGCAAGAAGAACGATGATTCTTCAGACAATTATTATATGTTGTAAAACCCCATTAGAGCAACATTAAAGGGAAATAATAGATAATTATATCATATATAACTATTTCGTATAGGATTCGTTATCCAGAATGTATAAAAATGAAGAGGGGAAAAATCGCAATATTCTGTACTCTACAACCCGAAATGACCGAATTATGGCTTATTTTGTAGCTGAATAGTAGATCTATTGCATGGTGTAATAAGGATTTGCAATATTTTCATGCGATTCTTGTAAAATTGACATATATGAAAAAAATGGCCCCTTTTAAAGGTTTCAAATACTCACACACAAAAAAAGTTGAATTCGAAAAATGTGCATCTGCCATGCAATAGATGAAAATTGTTCTATTCAGATATGAAATTAGAATGTCTGTATGATTTTGTATTTTAGAGAAATTTATCAAACTGTTCACCGTACGCCGAGTATCCCCCCCCCCCCCCAACTCCGTGCGACCCTACCACAACATATGTAAAATTTTCAGAAATTGTACGTGCTAGGAATTTCTGTAATACCTCGGAATGCAGGTAGATAACAGAGGATTATGTTATAAGAAGACTATTTTCATGCCTTATTTTGTTGATAGCAAGATGAACATGAAATAATAAAACAAAAAAAACGCCATATGCTGATATCTTGAAACTATTTTTGTGGGGGCAAACTCTCATAAGCGCATATTTTGTCCTTTTTTCAGGGAATTTACAAAAAAATAAAACGAAATTGAAACTGAAAAAAGTGAGTGGAACGAGTTGTAGCTATAGAAAAGTTGAATCGTTTTTGAAGGCGTTAGGATTTGCCCCCCCCCCCACTTATTTTTCGTTTGCCTTTTTTTTTTTTTTCTTTCTTTCTTTCTTCTTTTTCTTAAATAAAAACTATTTGGGCGATTTCGGAAAAAAATCGACCTTACGAATCTCGCTTTGGTATAAATAAAAGGGTGTTTCCTCTGAATCAGCAAAAAAAAAAAAAAAAAAAAAAAATCAACATTAAAAACAAAAACAGACGGTCTTCTAAAGAGAGGATTAGAACTCTTTAGTGTAGGAAGAGAGGGAAGCTAAGGGTAGGTAGCTACCTGAAATTAAAATTAGTGAGAGCAGTAAGTTGGGACACGAGGCCCCTTGCTTGGTGTGTTTTGGTTTGTCATGCCTTGAAGTGATTGAAAATATAGGCCTTTTTCCGCCGCCACCGGGCTGTAGTACTACAGTAGCTCATGACTCCGCCCCTAATCGTTCATATATTCTCTCCGATTTTTTTTTTTTTTTTTTTTTTTAATTCATTCATTCACTACCCGTGAGTTAGGTAGTCCGGGTTCCGCTTTCGGCACCCGGTTATTGGTGCTAGTTAAGGTGATCTTATTCTGAGTTTGATTTGTATTGAGTTTACCTTTGGTTAAAGTTTATCTTGGGGGAGGTGCCACAGAGATTGTTTTGAAAGATTCCTCTGATTCAAGTATGGTGCGGGCATAAGTTGCTGCTACAGTGCTTCTCTGTGAGGTTTCTCTGTTTGGTACATCCCTGAAATTGTGGGGTCTAATGTGATAGAGTGCCTGACAGTCTAGTAGGTAGTGTGTTAGTGGATGGCTCACCACAGTCTGACAATAATTGCACTCTTTTGGCACTCGTTCGTCAATCTCCCAGCTACAAGGATAGCCTAGCCGTAGCCGGTGGATGATAACAGCATCCTTCCTAGACATGGAACGGGGGGATGGTGATGGTTTCGTATTCAGTGACAGTTTTGTACCAGGTCGCCGAAGGTGAACCTGCTTGAACCCAGACGGTGTTGGATGAGTGTAATTTGCTTTGCTGTAATCTTGGCTCTGTTTTTGATTTGGCTGATGCTTGGTTTAATCGGCTATATGTGAGTTTGGTGGAGGCTGGATTTGGCTGCTGAGTCTACACGATCATTGCCTTCTAATCCGACATGACTGGGAATCCACATTATTTGGACCTTGCCTTGTTGAGTCAGCTGTTGTAGCTTGAACAGAGTTGATGTTGCTAAGTAAACATTGTCCAAGTGAGCACGGTTCTGTAAGGTGTGAATGGCAGGGAGTCCGTGAAAATACATACTGTAGATTTTGTACAGAAGAGTGCATATGTCAATGCTGATCGAATGGCGAACAGTTCTGCCTGGAGGATGGAGGAATCATTGCCGAGTCTCGATGCCTGTACATAGTCATTGCAAAGAAATGCACCTCCGGCTCTGCCTGATTCTGGATCAACAGACCCATCAGTGTAGATGACAGTCGTGTCTCTGTCATTCTCAATTGAAGGGATAGTCTCTTGTAGATTCTGCAGGTCATTTGGAGAGCAATTCTTCTTAGGTCTCGGGAGACTGTTATTAGAAAAGCTGCAAGTGGTGGTTCCCAGGGGTTTGGTTCTTCATATTCATGGTGTGGTGCATCAATGCCGCGGGACAATAGAGCAGGAAGGAGGTTGAAGGAGTGACGCTTTGTGGATTTCATGATGCCAGGGAAGAACGCGGCGATGAGGGGCTTGAGGGGTGTCTAGGATCCGTCTTAGAGAATCTCCCAGAGGTGACTGTCTATGATTGGAGACTATCTTGCAGACATGACCTGCAACAATCTGCCGGATTCTTATATGTAGGGGAACTAACTTGGCCTCCAGACGCAGGTTCACGAGGCGCGTCCACCTAGGGGCCCCGAGGATGACACGCATGCACCTGTTTTGGATGGTTTCAAGTTTATTAACCTGGGCTGGGGTGAGAGACAGTAGGGAAAAGGAGCTGTAGTCTATGAGCGACCGGATAGCGTGTACATAGAAGGATCTTAAGACATGGAAGCCAGCTCCTAGTCTTGTTGTGGTGAGACATCGTAAGACATTGATTCTTGCTTTGGTTTTGTCCAGGTTTTTCAATTGGGAGAGGAATCATTTTGAGTGTGAGAATGATTCCGAGGCATTTGTGGGAGGTGACCCACTCTATCTTATTGGTTTCTATGTACAGATGGTGGTTGGGAATGAAGCGTCTGATTTGTAGAGCCCTCGTCTTGTTTGAGTTTAACTTAAGTCCTAGGTGTGACATTTACTAGTTATGAGATCAAGAGCTTGCTGAGCATGTGGGAATCGAGAGCGGCCAGTGGCGATCAGTTGGAGGTCGTCAGCATAAGCGAAAAAAGTGTGTGGCCAGAGGGAGTTGTATGGAAAGGAGTTCTGCTATAAGATTGAACAAGAAGGGACTTAAAATCCCTCCTTGGGGGGTACCATTTTCAAAAACCTTGAAAACTGAGTAGTGCTCTGGAATCTGACTTGCCTTGCGATGGAGAAGGTAGTCGTTAGTCCAGGAGAGTATCTTGCCCGAGATACCTCTTGAGGTAAGGATTTGTACAATGACTTCCCATCTCGCAAGTTTGAAGGCCTTCTCTAGGTCTAGGAAGACTGCAAGACCATCTTTTCCATCAACGGTGCTGTGGATGGCGGCGAGGTTGTCTTTGGTTTCAAGTCCCTTGCAGTAAGCGAAAATATGCTTGTCAGGATGGGTACTTTGTGTTGGAGTCTTGCTAGATAGCTCGTTCCATTGTTTTGCTAAGGCGAGAACTCGTCATCAACGCCGGTAGCGGAGGAACAAATCCACCGCGCAAGGAAGCTGGAAAATAGTGATGCTTGCAATGATTATCATTGCGCATAAGATCATAGGAAGCTTTTAGGATAGAACAGAAGCAGTTAGGATATTTCCTA